ACAACAATCGCTACTTTAATAAATCGAACATGCATAAAATCATAGCATATTAAACGACGCAATTAATTGCGCAACGAGCTCTGATACCACTGTTGGGTTTCGGGCACGCGTACGCAGCGGAAAACAAAAATTTAATGTGATTTAAACGACTTTAAAACACACAAGTACATGCCCGACAAATTAAATCAATTAATTGCGTACCTTTGCGCTTCCAGCGAAATTAAACAACAACATACATGCTAATTATTTAACCGAATTTAAATCAATTAACATGCTCGCGTTTAAACCAAATAACATGCTCGCATTGATTTAAATCGATTACACATAATCACATAAAATCATACGAAACAAACATGAATACATATACATAGGTTTAAACGAAACTCAAATCGAAACTAGGGTTTCGCGTATTTACCTCTTGAAGCGTGAGGTAGGAGCGTTTAGCACGTCGAGATTGCTACGGAAACCAATCCGTACAATCGGGGCAGCAGCAGAGCAGCGGCAGCAGCGGCGGATCAGCCACGGCGGCGCGTGAGTTTCACGCGCGAACTTCCGGGGCGGCGCGTGGGGCGGCGTGCGGCTTAGGCTCGTGCGTTGCTCCTCGATTCTTCGATCTACAGTCTTCCTCCTCTCGGATTTCACCTCGTATACTTCGATCTACTAAAACGTGGCACTAGACACGAAGTAGTTAGAATAAAACGGAAGAAAAAGAGAAGGAAAAACAATACCGAAACAATCGGCCAATGAATGGCCGATTCCGGTGAAGCTCCGGCGACGGCGGCGCGGTGGCCGAGGAGAGAGGGCCGAGAGAGAGAGTGTGTGAGCGGCTAGGGTTAGGGTTTTTTGTGTTGTGTGTGTGCAAGACCTATAAATCAAGTATTTATATGTCTTGCATAAAACCCTAGCGGGCTTAAGTTGGACCGGGCCCAACAGCTTAAGTCCGTTAGTACTTTCACTTGCTCGTCTCTCTTAATTCAATGACCGGAAAATTGCAACGATTACATTTTCGGAATCATTATAATTTCCTCGTCATTACGAGTGCCATCTTTCATTTTCCAACTTTCCAAAAGTGGAAACCCTAATTTAGTGCACTTTCTAAATTTGGAAACTTCCCGATTTAGAAGGTTCACTAATACGTTCGCCTATTCTTTTCCTTTTCTTATTCTCATTCATAATTCCAAATTACGAATGTTGGACTCAATCATATTGACTTCCAATCATGCAAAGATAAACTATTTTATCTCTGACCGTTTATTCAAAGATCTCATGTGCACGAGCAGTGTGACCCTCGATGGTTCAGGTGTAAGCTAGCCGTGGGCCCACAACCCTTTGTGGTCAAAACTCGTCCCCTTCGAGTTACGATTAAGATGAAGCTCGTTTCACCTTAATCACCCAACGAATCAAGATTGGCGTCTAGCAACTACGCGTCATGATTCCCTAGATACAAATGAAGTGCCTGCAAGAACCTTCAGATATAGTTAACGTACAGTACGGTCCCTTCGATTCATATGTCCCGATCGAACTAGAGGCATTGGTTCATCGAGACCCATTTATATGTTCGATGACGGTGCGATCGTTCTAAGTGTTGTAATCCTTACGTGCATGACTTAAAGAATCGAATTCTCTAATCATCACTTAGTCAGCTCTGGCCAGAGACTTAGAATGATTACAAACTTTCAGAACACACAGGACATCCAAGACTATTCTAGCGATCGAATCCCCGACTACAATGCACATACCTCCCACTAGATTTCGGACTGCACGAACACTGGCCCTTGGGATGGTCCTCGGTGGAACTCAGGGACAGGTCACGATACAGCTGGTCCTCTAGTGAAGTCACGGTGATGTCTAGGTCATAAGGACTAATGGTGTACAACTATACCATAGATATCTCTACTCGATTATTGGGAACCACTTAGAGATTTCTAGGGTGAGGGAGTTCAGTGAACTCGTCAACTTACGAGCACCCACTTATGCATGCCGATATCACAATATCGTTTACTGATGAGATGCAGTACACATACACTAAGTGCTAGTCTTAATGGGAAAGGCCGATATCCTCATTAGTGGCGTAACCCTTCGACTAGGAACACGTTTAACAGTCATAATACTTGAGTAAATATCTCACGATCCTAACGATCAATTACTAGCACTTGTAATAACTGTAAGGACTATATCTATGCTTGTGACAAAGGGACAAAGATATAGAATGCCAATGTGTTTTATCATTAATACGAATAAAGGTTCGTTTATTACAATAATAAATACGAAAGACCACAGCCACAAGTTGGCTTGTTGGTCACCTACTCTAACAATACCAACTTCCGAAACTCCAATGCCGTGTAATACTGTTTGATATTTGTTCAGTGGCCAGGTATGTGACCAGCCCCATCCTTTGCATGTGAAGAACATGGTATGCCAAGTAATTTTCTGTTAGTATGGGCTCTGCAGTGGACGCTCGAGAGTCAGTCGAGTCATAATTGAATGTTTGTGGCCTCTTATTAAGGTATTTCTTGCAAGGTTTTTAAGACTCCGTATTACTAGAAGTAGCTTTTTGCATTATTGTCTCTTAACTGATTTACATGTAAAAAAAAGAAGGGGTTATTTTACATACCCCTTAGCCACCAAATAAATTATGGATAAACCCAAGCCCAAATCATCCTTTGAGATACCCCTGGAGAAGCGAAAGTACTATACTACCCTTATATGCAATTTCCGGCCAAACTGCATCAGCATATATGGTCCTGCATTTATCATTTTCGCTGATTTATTTATTATTATTATTATTTTTTTTTATAAACCTGTTTGTTAAATATATATATATATATATATATATATATATATATATATATATATATATATATATATATATATATATATATATATTTATTTATTTATTTTTTAATTTTTTTTTTAATTTTTTTTAATTTTTCTTTTTTAATTTTCAAAACAATATGTTTACAGTACTGAAAATAACTACATGTAACTATAGTACCTATAGTAATTCATAGTTATGTTTGTTTTTTTCCCCATGTTTTTAGTCGATCAATTGTATACACACACGAATACTGACTTATTATACAAAATAAATTCATAAAACCCCAACAAATATTTACAAATTTCAATATTTTTATTATAAATCACATCAGAACCAATAAAATACAAATCGAAAATACACAAATATAAGCATATGTAACTACATGTTACTATAGTAATGTATAGTAATGTACATTTTTGTATACAGTCTGTTGAACAAATCAGATGTAACTTCAAAAAAAAAATTTGACACCTTTAAGGAAAGGATCAATGGCCTTCATTAAGCTGCAATTGCAAAATCAAAACAAAAAGAAATTACTTTAGTGCAAATCAACAAAATTTGAAGAAAAACATCAAAACACTCAAAAATCAACAAACACTAAGAGATCGAGAGATAGAGAGAGAGGTTATTGCTGGGAAATGCTACAGATTTTAAATCAAACACAAAATAAAGCTCCAACGGTGGGTGACCCGTCAAATTTCGACGGGTGGAACACAAAATAAAGCTCCGGCAAGACCACCGTCCTCTAATGAAAAAAAATTGCAGAAACAGATCAGCGCTCGAAACTGAATGAAATCACCACCAAAAGAAGGAACTCGACGAGAGGAATCCAACGGTAGTTAAATCATCGAATTCCGACCACCGGAGAGAGAGTTATGGCTCCGGGAAGCAATTTCGCCGGTTGGAGGTTTGTGGAGGCGGGATTTTGAATCTGGGAGAAGAAGAGAGAGACCGTGAGTGGCTAGGGTTTAAAACTGATTTTAGAAGGGTATTATAGGAACTTCAGGGTAGCCCAGGGGGGTATGTCAAAATATTTTCGAAATGAGGGGGGTTTCCCCTAGAGTGTAATATACTTGGTAGTTAGTTCTATATAATTTGGAAATGAGGGGTGTCTACAAAATAATCCCAAAAAAGAATATGAATATATATATAATGATGGGATGTTCGATCCACCCGATGAATGTAATAGTTGATTTAACAAATAGTTGATTTTGATAAATGAGAGTTGCTGGAGATATATAGTTGTTTTAATCATATTGTTTTAATAACAGTTGTTTTAATAATAGTTGTTTTATTGAAATATAGTTGTTTTAACTGAAGACAAAAAAATATAGTAAAAAAAATATAATAAAAAAGTTAAAACAAATATTTTTTTTAAAATAAGAAATAAATAAAAAAAAAACGAAAATTAAAATTAAAATACAAAAAAATAAAAAAATAAAAGTGTATCAAAGTAGTGTATAATAGGTAGTAAATAGATGAAGGGTAAATTTGAGAATAAAAAGAGGATGGGTCTCTCACTAATAAATGAAAATGAGCTAGATCTATCCTCATTAAAATAAAGCTAAAGGGGGTTCTCACTAATAGTCCCATTTATCCCCAACAATTTTTCCTTTCCCCTTTTCTTTTCACCTGCTTCGATCGACCGCACTCCGTCAAGCGCGTGGGCCCCTCATACATACAGAAAACTAAAAGGGCCTATATCGCTGTGAGGTTGATTTTAGGCGCGACTTTCCTTCGGTTATTTGAATGGTATGACTTAAATTCTTCTTTATGGGTTTTGCTCTTGAATGTATGAGGCATACTTATTTTGGCATTGAGGCTTTTATACATTGACGGAGTGACATATTACTCTATTTCTTTTAACTTTTTTGTCCTTCGTTATTTCTTGAGCACTTTATTCTTTAGCTTTCTCATTTGGTGATATGGTTTGATTCTTCAAAATATGGTGGCAGGATGTCAAACTGCCAGGGTTGGTTGAACACATGGTTTGCTTTTCTATTGTTCTGAAAAAACTTTAAAAGTAATTATGAATTTCTGGAATTTTGAAAACCATGCTTACAATTTATGAAATAATGTGGGATAAAGTGACCAGCATAAGTCAAACTTACTACGGGGATAAAAAGAGTTGTTTGAAAATAGGAAAAATCGAGGGCAAGTTTCTTTTGTGTGTGAGGTTGGAATCGATTCTCATGGGGAACTTGGAGGTCCTTGAAATCAAGAATAATAGAGTCAGGCTCTTTCCCGAAGCGATGCTATGATTTCTATTTCCATTTTACTCATAAGTTTTTTTCCTGCCTCAACATTTGATTTTACGGCAAGTGTGGCTCAATTTCATAGGAATCTGATGAGGCAGCCGAATAAACGAGATTTGTATTTGAGTTCCACGAGGTATCCGATTGTCGCACTCGTCTTCGAAACTTGAAGTATTCTTTCGTTCTCTCTCCTTTCTTCATGTTACCACCTTCATTAGATTTTTTTTAAACCAACCAATTATTGCCAACAAACCCTGTAAAATCTTTTTTTTTTTTTTGTGGTCTTTTATGGTAAGTTTCGGTCAAACACTTTTACTGATTAGTTTGTCCTCATTTATGATTTCCATATATGAAAACTTGTGTTTGGAGTTATGCTTGTCTACATTACTGGTGGAAACATAGTTCATTTCTTAAGAATCACATATGCTGATGTTAAATTATAAATATTAAGAAATATGGAATTGTACGACGGGGTTTGTTTCCTTGATGCTCTTTTATTTATTTATCACTATTACAATTATTTATTGAATACGGTAATTGCTGATTATCTTTTTCGGGTTTAGATTTTGGTGGGCTCGGAGCTTTATGAGACTGCGGAAGATTGTGCAACAATTAGGTTCTTGATATACTTAATCAGGTATTGTTGCTACTTTTGTTAACTTTTGTTCAACCTTCGTTTGGTGTTTATGTGCAGTGGCTTCATTTTCTAAAACCACAAAGATTGGCTCATTTTTCACGTGAGAAAGGTATACAATGTACTTGTTATGTTACTTGTGATGTATATATATATTTTCATTTACCGGGCTCTTTCTTTCATTTTTACCGGTTGCACTTTGTTCTTGTTTCAAAAATTTTGCAGTGAAAAATGGCATTTGATTTTGAAAGATCTCATGCAAATTATGGGAATGAAATCAGAATTCTTGGCTTTTACGAGTGAGAAGCAGAATCTATATGCATCTTGTGTTATCTTTCTAATTTTTTTAGCTGTTGATGTTCACACACTTCCGCTGCAGATCTGCTCTATATTCAATGACAGACCATTAATGAGGAAAGGGGATTGTTACTTTGAACAATGCTCTTCCATTTCAATTTTTTATTTGGCTTTTACGGTTTATTACGGTTTCAAGGCAATTCTAACATGTTCTACATTTGTAATTGGTACTATTTTAGATTCCCTAATTGCACTTTAAGTTTTTTTTGTGGTTTAGAGGTTGTTGGCCGAAAACCTACACGCAAGTGCACGTATCGTACAAGTAATATAGTGGACAATTAAGTCCGGATATCGAACCCACAGGGAATATTTAATTACTTAATCCTAGACGCTAAATTCTACCAATTATTATCAAGCCCACCCTACACAGTCGAATTTAGAGAGAATTAACTAAATTATACTAAATTAAACAGCAAACAAAAACAAGAAAGCAATTTAAAACGAAGATTTAATCAAGATAAGCAAGCCTAGGATTTTATTCTCCCCCTATGTGATTATTACTCCCCTAATTCCTTCAATTATGCAAGCAATTAACCCGGATTATTAACCCGAGATGCTAAAATAATCATAACCCGCTTCCGCGTGTATTACGATTCTAATACTCTAGATTCAATTACTGTATTCCTACGCAATTAATTCTAGAACACAGCATTAAGCACAAATCTCAATAATGGCTACCTAATAGATTAACTATATTCCAATGTTAATACCACAAAGGCTCTTCTACCACAGTTCTAATTATTAACCCGATCTTCCGATTCATGCGATTAACAATAACATAAAAGCACATAAGGTGATCAAATTCATGCACTTAATAAAACAAGTAGAAGAAATAATTCGGAATTAAAACTTGCATAAAATCATAGAAAAGGGTTCATAAATCCCACATAGGGTTCCAAATAAAATCCTAGAAATAAGAAATTTAGGTACTCATGATTAAAGGAAAAACGCAAATAAAATAAGTCATAAACGATAAATCTATGCTTAGAGTCTTCGAATTCTTCGTCTTCGTTATTGCTTTGTTGCTCTCCAAATTGCGTAAAAAATATCATCAATTGTGTGCTTGGTTTGGTCTTATATAGGGTGAAGAACTTGGGGAAGAAGGCAGTTTCCTTGTGCAATTAAAATCCCTCTACTGCGCAACTTCGGAGTCTCGGACGGGGGTCTCACAATTTGAACTAAAACTGGGATGGGGGTCCGAGCTTTACATCTTCAGAATTTTGATTTTTTCACTTTTGGCCCATATTTTCTCCAAAATTGTAGTTTTGACCCCATACTTTTCCAATTCTTCAATTTGTACCTAAAATACAATAAATCAACTTTTTAAGCACCAATTATCATTAAAACACACCAAAAGCTCAAATAAAAAGGTACGATTAAGTGTAAAAATATACACTTAACAGAGGTTCCTTGTGAAATTTGTTCGGAGTCTTATGCCATTCAAGGTTGGTATCATCGAGTGAGAAAAATATTAGCAACCTCTTCATGGTATCTATAAATGGAATTCTCTTTTTTTGTTGGACACTCTTTACACAAATGGCTCTACCTGTAGCAATCTGTCCATTTGTTTGCACTTCTTGCTTGCTAGGTTTGTCATTGTTATCTACATCTACAGGGAACTTGCTTTTCAATATGTAAATGTGAATTATTAGTGATATATCGAAAGTTGCGAATTATTATGTAAGCATAATTCTTTTACAATGTAATGTGCTGGATTTAGAATGAGACATGGACATATAGAAAGTAAGGCACGTTTAGAAATGGTCCAAATGTGATATAGATGGTAAAATCCTAGTTGCAATATTGTAATGAAGTCAACGTTATAGCTTCAAGAACTGTTCAAATTAATTTATACAAGTTTATTGAATATGTTAATTAATTAACAACTCACAATGATAAAAATATATTCACTATATTATTATTTTACGCGTCAAAAATAATATCTTTAATTTTTGGGGTAAATTACAAACACCCCCAGAGGTACGGTCAATTTATGGAAAAACCCCTCTTGTTTGGATAATTACATCTATCCCCCTCAACTATAATTTTTTCTTACACTTCCACCCTTATGGTGTCAAATTAAACATAATCATCTAGATTTCGTGGAATGTATTCTAGTTTGTACTCGTTTTGTGTAAAAATACAGTTTCTGATGCACCACAATCTGATATATACAAACTAAAAAACACATATTATGATCATCTTGCTTCAAAATGTAGAGTTCGAATGGGATAAAACAGGTACAAAAGTCATAATATTCCATATAATCTCGAAGATTTCACTAAATTTGAGGAGTTGAGGGGGTCGTTGTAATTATCCAAACAAGAGGGGGGTTTCCGTAATTTGACCATACCTCAGGGGTTGGTTGTAATTTACCCTTAATTTTTGTTATTTTATTCCTATAAAGAAATTGTCTTTTGAAGTAAGCATCTCAATCATGCAACTACTAAACAAATCTTTAATTTATTAATTCATGGAATATTAATTTAATTCTACAATAATTCAAAAAATAAAATGAAAATAGAGAGAAGCAACTCAAAGGAAATCTTCAAATAAAACCCATTCAAATTAACGAAACTAAAGTCTCTCTCTTTCCACCAATTCTTGAATCCTCTGAAG